CCAAAAAAAATGATTAGATGATTGCAGTTTGTCAGTCATTCGATGTGGTGGTTGCATTGGTTTGCATTTTATAAAGAAGAAATCTGCAGTGGGGCCACCCAGGGTTAGGTGCCTGTTTGGTTTAGGGACCAAAATAAAGAGGATATACTCACCTGATCCTTCATCCTGCTTGCTAGACTGTTCTCTTCTTTCCTGGGCTCCTGCGGTCTCAGGACCTGCGACAACATCACCTCTAATGCAGCTGCAGAAGTTAGGACCCTGAGGGACGGCGACGTACATACCGCAGCTGGGAGGGAGAGAGGGGTGGAGCTCTCACCGCCTCGGGACAGGGGACCAAAATGAGCAGTTAACCCTTGCAGTGCAGGGGGAGGGGGTTACTGCTGACCTCTGCACTGTGTGCTACATACTACTGACCTCTTATAAGGTCATCTCTTTGGTCAATCTGCTTTCTTCTGCCATCATCATGTTCCGTGTCAGCCCATCTGCATGTAGCATGATTGACTTCTATTCCTGCTCTTAGTGCTATGCAGGGGTTAGTAAGGGGGTCATATCAAGCTAAATTAAAATATTCATTACATTTAAATAAAATACATTTAATTGTTTATTCATGTCTATTAAGCTGCATTAATTTGCTCCCGGAAGTGTGACTCCCAACAAAACATTTGTTTTTCGCTTTCCATAAAGAAGGGAACCTCAGTCGGGTTTTTAGGTGGATGCAGCAATTTCCCACAGTAGGCTCTATAGTTCCAGCATATACTGTCCAGTTATAACATCAGCATTGTAATAGGAATATATACTAGAGTTCTTTTTCATAAAGCAATCAAAGCTTGCTTGAAAAAAAAAAAAAAAACCTGCCTTGCGTCTGCCCATCACTTTCAACAACTTCCTGGATTCTAAGTGTGCTTTGCATGTCTTTCCCTGCTGCTTGGGGTGATGTAATCTCTTTTTCTCAAGACTACATAGCCCATCATGCATTGCTTCCAACAAGCAATTAATATTTGACATTGTTCAGACGTTTAGTTGTAGTAATAGTGAAATTATGTCACTGCATTGAGGAAGTACATTCTATGGGCATCTTCAAAAAGTAAGTTTACAAATTTCTAGATTGATATGGTTATTAGGAGTGGGACAGAACTTATGGAAATACAATATAGAAATACAGATTTTTAGTTTTTGACCTTTCAGGTCATGCAGATTCCCTTGTTTATGGTTTATTTTACATTATGAAGCACACATCAAAAAAGTGCAACTCCATCACTGTGGCTCTGTAGTAGCTGCAGAACTGAGAAATCTAGAGGCGCCACCTTCTCTAATAGAGTATCCCAGAAAAATAAGCAATCAGTATTGGATTCAGCAGGTCAGCAACCAACCACATCTAAAATCACAGTTTAGGCTGAAATAGACTAGAATAAAATTGTATCTGGAATATTGTAATTGGAGTGGCACTTTAATTCCTACATCTACTGAGAAATAAACAGACGGGGGTTCTAGCCTCTTTCCTAAAGAGAGACTGTTGACTTTGAAAATTGTATGTTCACTGTGAACATTGTAGGTATACTTTGCAAACTGAATGATAGTAAACAAGATAAACCCATGTTCACTTTGAATACCCAATCATGAACACAGCTTTTTAATATTTACCATGCTCGGTGAACATACACTTCTGTCTCTATTCCTTTATGAATTCAACCCTAATGAGTATGCCAGACGTCATCAGAAATTGTTATCAGATGAAATGCTGGCACAAGCAGTTCTTCCTTCGACTTTGACTCAGATGCTTGTGGCACAGCTAGAGGGAAGTCTCAACAACGAAGGTTTCAGTTCCAGATGGTTAAAACAAGGAATTCTCCAGTGAATGGGTAAATATTAATGCAGATATCACCTAGCCCCGAGATAACAAAACAAAAACAATAATAAATACCAAAGGAATGCAGTAGATGGCAGTGGTGCGGTGGAGAAGGATCTCGTAGATAGACCCGTGTTTCATTCCATGCACTCACCTTTCTGAAGTAGGATCCTGGGAGTTCAGCGGATACTTGAGCTCGATCACATCTCCGTTTTTCTCTCTCAGTAGACCCTGCTGCTCCGTGTAATACTGCACCAGTTCAGCCAATGTGGCAAATGTCTCTCCACCGTACAGATCATAGAAATCCCCCGTGTTTTGGATTTTGATGTGTGTGACTTCACTGTGCCGCCTGCAGAAATAAAGGAGCAATTATCAGATGGCAGTCTATCTATAAGAGCTATCACTTCAATAAAGTACCAGTATATACATTGTCTCCCCCCCCCCCCCCCCCCAAAAAAAAGGTAACACACTCCAATATTTAGTTGGACCGCCTTTAGCTTTGATTACGGCACACATTCACCATAAGCTTATGCAATGTCACAACATTTATTTCCGCCCAGAGTTGCTTTCATTTTTCACCAAGATCTTGTAGTGATGATGGGCGAGTTAAACCACTGTGGAAAGTCTTCTCCACCACATCCCAAAGATTCTCAATGGGGTTAAGGTCTGGTCTCTCTGGTGGCCAATACATGGGTGAAAATGATGCCTCATGTTCCCTGAACCACTCTTTTACAATCTGAGCCCAATGAATCCTGGCATTGCGTCTTGGAATATGCCCAATGTGCCATCGGGGAAGAAAAAAGCCATTGATGAAAAAAACCTGGTCATTCTGTATATTCAGATAGGCAGCTGACCTCATTTTTAAGGGACATAACATTGCTGAACCTAAACCTGACCAACTGTAGCAATCCCAGATCATAACACTTATCCAATGGAAGGCTCTGACCTATTTGCTTAGCTAAATCCAGGTGGTGACCTTTTTTTTGGCCAGGCAATGTACATGAAGCATGCAATGGTATATTTTTTGCCATCTAGACTTCCACTTGGGAAATATAAAAATCACAGTTAAATATGGCAGCAAGTGGGAAGAAAATATCCTTTTGGACCTCCTACTGGTTGGCCTCTCTGTCTTTGTAAAGTATTAAAGTACTTATTAATAATTCATCTTTTAGTATTTAGCTGGCCATACACCAGTAGCGTTTAGGTTCTAAATTTTCGTTTTTGGAAGGGTCATTCCATTTTCTAATGTGGGATCTAGTCAATGTTCATTTTCAGCCTTAGTAGCCAGAAAATCAAAAGGAGCAGGTTGGAAAATTATTCTTGTTTCTTATCTGAACAAATGAAATTCTGACTGTGAAAGTGATTTTTATTTGGAAAAAAAACACAAAAGAAACCTGTTAATATGTTTGTGATTCTATTCAGGTAGCCAGTCTGGATGACATTTTGAAGGGCTTTTGAATGCAATTAATTGACTCAATGGTGATGAGATCGAATGCTCCGGCGAACAATTTCAAACGGTGTGTGGCCAGCATTACACTCCAGCTGTCTGCACAAGAAGCCCTTGGCAGAGGAGATGCTGCAATCAAAAACACACACCTACAATATTAACCCTTGTACTTATTTCCCTCTATATTACCTGTAACTTGAGAACTCAAATTAACTGACAAGACAATTCAGAGGTCTGATAGAAGACTGTAGGGAGGCCAAATCATTTTGTTTAGTGATAATGAGAAGGATGTGTGTGTACTGAAGAAGATCTATACCCTGACTGGATGACATTTACTTCCGTAAAGTACTAAGTATCAATGCCTTTTAGTTCAGTGAAGTACTAAGTATCAATGCCTTTTTAGTAAAGCACTGTGTATCAGTTCCCTTTATGCATTTCAGTGTTGCTGATCTCCTCCAGCCTATTTCAGCCACTTCCCATTAAAATGCAGTCACTCCAGTCTTTGCTGTATATCATACCGCTGAGCCGGTTTACTAATAATGACAATAGTGGTCCATGCTTACCCTGTGTGTCGGCTTGGCCTCTTGTAGTCTACCAGAGGTGCGTAAAACAGGGTGACAGCCCAGTAGCACAAGTAGTCCCTCCATAAAGAAAGTGCCTGAACAAGGATTTTTCATGGCAAGATCATCAGATATTCTTTTATTAAAAGCTGTCTGCCATTAAGAGAGAGAGAGGGAGGAGAGGGAGGAGGAGGAGGAGGAGGAGGAGAAGAGAGAGAGAGAGAGAGAGAGAGAGAGAGAGAGAGAGAGAGAGAGAGGAGGAGGGAGAGAGCTAGAGAGCGAGAATGAATACGGTATATAGAAATAGAGATAGATAGACATTTACCGCAACTCCAGCTAAACTTTTCTTTTCTCCCTTGTTTTGGATACATTTGTGCAGGTTTACAATTTTTATCAGGTTTTTACTTCTATCATTAAAGGAGAACTATGGGGTGAGTGAATTAGTAAAGTGAGCAAAAACATACTGCCGCTCGCTCACTTCCTGATCATCTCCCTGCAGAGAGCGGTGACTGTCAGTCACTGTTCCCTGCAGAGATCCCCCCTCTCCGATCCTCCAGCACTGACTGGAGGCAGACACAGCAGGCTCTGCCTCTAGATAGGCAGAGCCCGCTGTCAAGCAGCCAGCAAGTTGGATCTTAAAAGTATTGTTGGGATCTGTCTCGGCTGTGGCGCACTTAGCATATAATGGCCAATAGAAATAGCCTGCTATATACTGAGTTTTGGGTCACAGAAGGAAGTTAGTATATGTCCTTCCGTGACCCTAAAAAGTTAACCTCATAGATCTCTTTAAACTTCTGTCTATCAGGTTGTTACTTCTGTCTCTTCAATTCCTGTCCTGGCGACAACATTGTCACTGGTGTAGGAAATGATTAGAGATCCCCAGCAAGGAGACAAATCGCAATAAAAATCTGAAGAGGGTTCTAACCGATCCCAGTCCAAACAAAATTAAAAAAAAAATTCCGACAAAGGTTTTAACTTAAAGGAGAATTATGGGGTGAGTGAAATACACTCATCCCCATAATTCAAGCCAAACTGTGAGACTGAAGCTGTCACTGGTCGGCAACTCAGGGAACACATACCGTCGCTCGCTCACTTCCCGATCCTCTGCCTGCAGAGATCAGTGATTGTCAGTCACCACTCCCCATAGGTATTCACCCCCTCCCCTTTCAGGTTTTCTAACGCTGACTGGAGGAACGGACAGGGGAGGGGGCGGGCACAGCTGGCTGTACCTCTAGCCAATGGGGTGGATCTTGACAACATTATCAGGATCCGTCCCGGCTGCGGCGAGGCTCTGTGCTCCCAGCATATTCAGGCAATAGCCTGCTATATCCTGAGTTTTGGGTCACTGGAGGACATTAGTATATGTCCTCCTGTGACCCTGAAGAGAACTATGGGCAAAAAAGGTTAGACCATAGTTCTCTTTTAAACAAAACTGTAAAAAAAGAAAATTCCCAGAGGTTTAGTCATTCACTTATTTCCCCACTAAAGCCGAAGCAACCACGATTCAAGACTTAACAGCAAGACATTCTCAAATATAATACACTTTATGAAATGTTAAACCAGCTTCCTGTGCAGCTGAGCAAACCTTTATTTATATATTTTGTTTTGCTAGCATAAAAGCTATGAAGGAATACTAGGTGCATCTGCAACCCATCCATAGCAGAGAGGTATTAATTATTAATACATCCATATCTATAAACCATAATTGACCACAGGAAATGTTTTATTTCGCCACAGCTCTTATTTACAACAGTTTTGTACAGCGAAGAATTAGTATCTAATGTTCTTAAGAGGATCAAGAAGCAACTGTTTTGGTTTAGGACTGAACACCAGGCAGATGCAGTTATATATTCATTTAAAAAAAAAAAACTGAAATGTGCTTTTAAATTCAGCTAGTGTAAGCTCAATCAGCCTCCAGCAATCCCCTGTACAGCAGCACTCAGATTGGAAGAGGGAGAAGCAGCATAGAGCCAATCAGGTGCACAGAATGCAGAGGAGGAGAGAGCAGAGTAAACATAGGGGGTGAACTACTGCCGCTCCATCAATGTCCAACAAGACTTTTTTTAAGCTTACACATTTTTTTAATTGTTTTATATTGATTATATTTAACATATATGTACAACATTTGTTTTGCAAATCCTTAAATCATCTCTGAATTGGTGCTGACACTGTCCTTCCTTCTGGAGGGTGACTACTTTTGTTCCTCATGGTCCCTGTGTGTGTTGTAAAGTAGCCATGACTCCAACCTCGCTCCCATGATGGACTACAATCTCAATACAAATTAGTAAATTAAATGTGACATTGTAGTCCATCATAGGAGTGAGCTTGGAGTGGTGACTACTTTACAACACACACAGGGACCATGGAGAACAAAAGTAGCCACACTCCAGAAGGAAGGACAGTGTCAGCACCAATTCAGAGATGATTTGAGGATCTACATCCGAGTGATACACAAATAAGATACATTTTGTTAATAGTTGGGGTACTTGAATGCACTTTTAGGATTTAACTGCAGAGTTAATGTCACTTTAATGGATTGCATTTATTGTATCCTTCCTTACGCCCAAATGCTTCTTTTGGTCAATAGATAAAGAATTTATTAAAATATAGTATCTGTTGGTTGTGTGTTTAGATGAAGCACTGCGATCTTAAGGAATGCTGAAATAAGTTTTACTTGCTTAGAAGACGCTTACAAGTATGTATACAGCATTGTGCAGGAAACAGATACACAATACACAAACTGTTCATTTCTCTTAGTAGGGCAGTGCAACAGTTGCGCATATGGGGATTATGACTTTTATTTATACTGCTCATTGACGGCAATAAAAACCTTTCAGGCGACCAAACTCTGTCCTGATTCATTAAAAACTACAGTTAATGTTTGGGGAAGAGTTCCTCTTTAGCAGCTCCCCTCACTCGACTTGAGCACATTAGCATAGCTAAACTAATAGCCTTTCATTGGAAATAATATAGTCTCCAAGTGGCTTATCTGGTCATTGATCTTCTTACAACAGTCGCCTGGCAAGTAAGCCGACTTCACCGTCTGCTGTACAGAAGAACCCACCAATCCATCTACAAAATAAGATTAAACAAAATGTAGAACAGCGAGTATGAAGAATGTGAAAAATGCATCAAACATTACAATCAGGTTAACTTTAAAAGGAATATTAACTGAAAAAAATCCTTGCTAGTAACGTTCAACTCAACGTAGGCAAGAGCTATGCTTAAGAACACAATGCATTTTTCATCCGGCACAGCTATTTAAAGTGAAAATGATCCCTGCTTGCTAACAAGCTGTTTTGTTTTACTCTATAAACCCTGATGTGACTGCTTTAAATTCTG